AAACCAAACAAAAAAACCCCAGTAACTTTCAAATGGTAGAAATTTAGTCACTGAGATAGGCTTACCGTGAGAGATGGTTTTGAAAATTACTTTCTACTTCTCTTAAAGAAATCTATTCAAAATTAAGGATGGCACTGATTAAGGGAAATGGATTATTACTGAGGCCTGGGAAAGACAGAAGACTAATGCTAGAATTTTCATATAGTAGAGACAGCAGAGCCTCAAGCCCCTAAACTAGCAAAACCAAAACTGGATTGAGTAATAAAAAGATGACCGGTTTCAAAGATTATGGGCATTATTCCAAAGTATCCTGCATAGTATCTTACCTGGAATTCTATTTATATTTTGACATAGTCTATGTAGCCCTGGCTGGCCTGGAACTCCGAAAGTAGACCAGGCTGACCTTGAACAGAGATCAGCCTGTCCCTGCCTCCTGAGCCCTGGGACTAAAGGCGTGTGCTACCCTGCCAGGGACTTTTACAGTTTTTATGAGTGTTTTTACATACTACTTATGCCAGCATTCACTTGGCTTATGTGATATTGAATGATTACAAAGTGTAAAGTTAATGGTTTTGGCATTTCATCCACAACTTCTGTTTGGCTTGTTCTGTATTTTGACTGTTAAACTTTGACACATTTGTGTTTACCTTGGTATCTGTAGAATCTACCTTTATATTATCTGACACCTAGTGGGTATCCAATAGACTTTATCTTGAAACAAAAAACAAAGTTTTAAGTACAGACGGAAATTTGAAAATGGCTTAGTTCCTGCTCTCAAAGGTGTTTACAGCTTAGTGGCACTGTACTATCAAGTTAATTTTTTCCCAGACAGAATCTCATGTAGCCCAGGCCAGATCTTGAACTTCTCATCTTCCTGCTGGAAATTCAGGGCTTCCAAGATGCTAAGCAAACACTGCCAACCGAGCTACACCCTCAACCCCAATACAGTTTAGTACACAAATTTAAGTGGGTAAATGAAGACAGAGGGGAAAGACTAAGTTTAATTATGGAATCCACCATTTTTGTTTTTCTTTGAGATAGGATTTCCCTGTAGCTCCAGCATGCCTGGCTCTCAAAGATTTGCCTACATCTACCTACTGAGTGCTGAGATTAAAGATGTGAGTCACTACATCTGGGCTTTAAAATTCTGTTTACATTTATTTTGTGCATGCGAGTGAAACAGCACAAAGTATGGGGGGGTCAGATGACAACTTTTGATTTTTTAAAATTTTATGTGTATGAGTGTATTGCTTGTATGTACGTGAGTGCACCTGTCATGCAATGCCACAGAGGTCAGAAGAGGGCTTCAGATTCCCCTGGAACTGGAGTTAAGGACAGTTCATAGCCACCACGTGGGTGCTGGGAATTGAACCTGGGTCCTCTGCAAGAGCAGTCAGTACTCTTAACTGCTGAGTCATCTCTCCAGCCCCCAGATGACAACTTTTAAGGGTCAAGTCTCTCCTTTCACCATGTGAAATGAGACAGCAAATGCCTTTACCACCTGAGCCAACTCACTGGCATGGAACCCAGTATTTCAATATTTGATTATAAGCTTTAGTGCTAGAATATGTAAAAGCAGATCCTTTAATATCCTTTTATATTGCTGTGGCTACATAGATGGATGTAACCAACCTGACTAATCATATATATTATATGCATACATATATATATATATACACACACATAAAACATATATATTTGGTGCTCACGATCAAACTCGGGGCCTTGTACATGTCAAGAAAGTACTAGATCTCTAGCCTACACCTGACCCTCCTTTAAAAAACAAACTTATTGCCAGGCATGGTGGTGCATACCTTTAATCCCAGCACTCGGGAGGCAGAGGCAGGAGGATCTTTGTGAGTTTGAGGCCAGCCTGGTCTACATAGTGAGTTCCAGGACAGCTGAGGCTCAAGGAGACCCTGTCTCAAAAAGACCAAAAACAAACAAACAAACAAAAAACCCCTTATTTAAATTTTTTTTTTTTAAACTTGAGGATAGAAATGCTTTGGCAAATTCTTGTAATCCATTTAAGAAACAGGTCCTGAAAGAGAACAATTTGATTCACATGCACAAAAATCCAGTTATTCTGCAGACATTTGCTAGGCACACCTTTGGAAGATACACTTGTTACTATAATTTTATGGTCATGGTACTCAGTATTATGACATAAAGCTCAACTCAATACACATTTTATTCCTAAATACACGGTCCTGTGTATCTGTCACTATCACAAACTAGTTCTGATGCACTGGGAATCAAGGAATCCAAGTGAGTCCACTGACCAGGTCAAAGAAGGAATTCATTAGGAAATCTACAATATTTCTTGTCTGAAACAGTTTGTTGCACTTGTGAAGAAATCCTACAAAGGAATCTGAGAAAGCCAGGTGTGGTGGTGCACATCTTTACTCCTAGCACTAGAGAGGCAGAGGTAGGTGGACCTCTGTGAGATTGAGGCCAGCCTGGTCTACATAGGTAGTTCCAGGCCAGCTGGTGTTATATGGAGATCATCTGAAAAAAAAAAAAAAGGGCAGGGGGAGTCTGAGAAAGACTAAGTAATCCATCAGTCTTATAATTTAACATTACTCCAAGCCTACTGTGCGTATGCTGAGCAGGGCACATTTCCTTACAATAACATCTGGCTGCCAAATGCAGATTGCTGGCGTATGAACCAGTCACGCTACAGCTTGTGCTAAAAGTGAAGGAAGTAGACTTACTTTGCCATTGTAATTAGCTTTTTGGGAGACGGTCATGTCTTTAAAAAGATTTTCTTCATTATGTGTATGCATGTCTGTGTGGGGGTTATGTGTATCTGTGTGCAGTGCCCAGATGCCAGATCCCTTGAGACTGGAATTATAGGTGGTTGTGAGCCACCATACATGGGTGCTAGAAACCAAACTCTAGTCCTTACAAGAGCAGCACGTGCCCTCAACCACTGAATCCTTTCTCCAGCTCTGGTATTACCAATTTGGAAGGTAATTAAAAACATTTTTATGTGCATGTGTTCTGCCTACATGTATGTAAGTGTACCCATGTTGTGAAATGCCTGTGGAGGCTAAAAGGCATTGGATCCCATGAAACTGGAGTTTTGGATAGTTGTCAGCTGCCATGTGGGTGCTGGGAACCTCACCTGGGTCCTATCCAGGAGCAGCCAGTGCTCCTCCCACTGAGCCAGCTCCAGCCTCTGAAGGTGATTTTTTTTCTCTTCATTGACTTATGATTAGTAGATTCTACCTTTTCCTAGTCATGTGATAAATTATACATTTATACATAGTTATTTTCAAAATATAAAGCTGGGTCAACTGGGCTTGGTGGGCTATAATCCCAGTACTTGGAGCTGAAGCAAGAGGACCGTTAAGTTCTACGTCAGACTGGGGAACACAGTGAAAGCACTCATAAAACTGTATTTAAAAAAAAAAGTCAGGCATGGTGGAGCACACCTTTAATCCCAGCACTCAGGAAGCAGAGGCAGGCAGATCTCTGAGTTCGAGGCCAGCCTGCTGGTCTATATAGTGAATTCCAGGCCAGCTGAGGCTGCAGGTGGACCTCAAAAAGACAAAAAACAAACAAACAAACAAAACCCCCCAAAACAAATAAACAACAACAACAAAAAAAACAGTGGGTTCATGTGGCCTAAGTGGATTGCAAACTATATTAGTACTGTAGGCAGGGGACTGCCATGAGTTTGAGGCCAGCCTGGACTACAATGTGAGACCCTTTCTCAAAATGACAAAAAAGGCTGACCAAGTTCTTGCTTCCATGTCAGAACTGCAATAATCTATATCGTGCAGTAATCAGACACCGATCTAGTGCTTCCTAGTGGGTGAGAAGGGCCTGGCAATCATTCTTCACTTTTATTAGCATTTTCTCTGTCCGAAGAATGTTTTTGTATGAATTACTTTCTCTCCTTCTAAACAAGCAACATGAAAACATATTGTGGGTATGGAGAGATTAAAACCTGAAAATTGTAGTTCAAAATCTTGGTCTTGGATGGTAGAGTTGAAGAGATGCAGGACTACACTGTGAAAGCAAAATAGAGAAAATTATTGCAGCAGAAATTGTATTTTATGACCGAAGTCTTCAAAATATCTATTTAAAATTAAACAGCTTTTAAAGGTTTCTGAGACAGGGTCTCAGTACAGGTTGGCTTTGAAACATCATCCTATGTCAGCCTCCCGAGCGCTGGGATTTATGTTTATGCCACCATGCATAGCAAGACTTTTGTCAGCAGAGTAATTTGACAATGCTGTGCCTGTTTGGGAAATGTACAAATAGAAAACTGAAATAATTAGGTTTAGGATGTAATTTTCTGAAGCAAGGAATGATGATGCACCCTTTTAATTCCACCACTTGGGAAGCAGATGCAGACTTCCAGAGCACAGAACCTCTGTGAGATCAAGGCTAGTCTGGTCTACATAGTGAGTTCCAAGCCAGCTGGAACCAGAGACTTTAAGTCTCAAAAAATACCAGAAGAATGTAATTTTGTTTCCCTTAAAAGATATTGGCTATCAGGACTTGAACAGTATATTATATATATTTGAGCCAACCTCAAATTCTCATTCTTTCTTAATAGATAATGCCAGGCAGACTTGAACATGTTTACTGTGTGTGATGCAGGAGTACACATAGCAGGTCAGATGACAACTTTTGGAAGTTGTTTTTCTCCAACTATGGGTTCAAGGATTAAACTCAAGTCAGGCTTCTATGTCAAGCATTTTTACATGCTAAACTATTTGTGTTTTAAATTCAAAACTGTGGGAATTCCTGTAGCAAGTAATGAAAAAAACTAAATCTAGGGCAGTATTTGCTTTCTGTTGAGATAACAGTTTAGGATCCTATGATATTCGTAGATTAGAACACTTTCAGTGTTCACTTATTGGGAAAACAGCATTTAATGTTATATTGTTTTCATGATGTTGTTCACTCTTAACATTGCTGTCATTCACTTGTTCTTTTATTAAGCTTTAACCATGTATCAAGCGCAGTAGATGCAGTGAAGCTTGAATGCTAAACCCACAGACACCAGCAGTGGAGCTACAAAGCAACTAATGAAGCTTCTGAATATAAGCACTGTGAATTTTATAGAAGGCACAAGTTTCCAGTGCTGAGATAATTTTTTTGAGATATGGTTTATGTAGCCCAGGCTGGATCTTACTTCCTGAGCTCCCCAAGTGCTAGGTACTACTCACCTGGCTACAGCATTAAAAATACACTGTTTACATGTATGAAATCAAGATTTTTTTTGGAGACAGGGTGTGTGGCCTGAAACTTTCTATGTAGACCAGGCTGGCCTCAAACCTAGAGATCTGCCTACCTCTGCCTCCCAAGTGCTGGGATTAAAGGCTGGAACCACCAGCTTGGCCCTCAAAAATTACTTTAACCAAAGCTTTAACTTTTTTTGGATTTTTGTGTAGAAGTGTTTTGCTTGTGCATGCAATGCCAGAAGAGGGTGTCAGATCCCCAAAACTGGAGTTACAGATGGTTCTTAGCTACCATATGGGTGCTGGGAACTAAACCTGGACCCTTTGGAAGAGGAGCTCGAGCTATCTCTTCAGCCTTTTAACCAAGGTTTTAAATCAGGGTATAAATCAGGTTTTAAATAGACAGTAGTTGAATGAACTTGGAAAAAGTTGAGTTATAACTCAATTTTTAGGAACTTCTAATACAATCTGAATATAAGCAAATCACAGTATTCGTAGTAATAGTGATTGTCACAATTGAAGGCATATTTTCATATAACATTGTAGGTAGTTTGAAAGATCATGAATAGGGGCTGGAGAGATGGCTCAGTGGCTAAGAGCACTGGTTGCTCTTAAAGAGGACCCAGATCCTGTTCTCAGCACCCACACTGTAGCTAACTCCAGTTCCAAGGAATCCAAAACCCTCTTCTGGCCTCTGTGGGCACTGTACACACATGGTGCATACATGTAGGCAAAGCACTCATACACCTAAAAGACCATGAATACCTGACACTGTGGTTGAGGTACTACCTGGCCTTTTGATCTGTTTATGTGTATGAGTGTTCTGTCTGTATGTATGTAAGTACACCTGTGTTATGCATTGCCTGTGGAGGCTAGAAGTGGAGTTACAGATGGTTTTTAGCTGCCACTTGGGTGCTGGGAACTGAATCCAGGTCCTCTGTAAGAGCAGTCAGTGCTCTTAGCTGCTGAGCCATCTCTCCAGCCCAATTATACCTTTTTAATCTAAACAATACTTGCTTATGTGATTGGACTATATTTTTCACTGAATATCTATGTTCACGGAAACATCAAATCATTTGGTATGTGTCTTCGAATTGCAGCAAGGGTAACAGGTATTAGAATATAATAGCAATGAGTAAATTAGGAGCCAGGACTGCAAATCCAGCTACTTCAGACTGAGTTTAGCCAGTCCAGGCAATTTGGTTAAGACCTTGACTCAAAATACAAGTAGGGCTGAGCATACCTCAGTCATAGAGCACTCATCTGCACTCTTGAGGCCCTAGGTGCAACACAGGTGTGGGGAAGGTCTTCACTCAAGTGAATCAGGATTACACAAAAGGTATCAGAGGTTTGACTTTGGCAAACTATTCATCTTGGTCCTTTTAAGTAAAATTAGGGCTTGAGTTAGGCAAAAGACTTACTTGCTTAGTATGTTTTAAAATGCAGATTCCCAAGTCAGCCTATTTAATTCCAGCACGATGGATGCTGAGGCAGGAGGATCATGATTTCTAGACTAGACAGTAAGGTGACCTTGCCTTAAAACAGCAGCAACAAGAACAAAACCCCGTAAATAAACAGAACTGGGGACATACCGCAGTAGTAGAGTGACTAGCATGCACGAAGCTGCAGCTTTAAAGTGCAGCACTGCAGGAATAAAAACAACAAATGTAGATTCCCAGATCAAAAGCCTGAGAATCAAAATGTCAAAGCCATGTAGTACTGAGACCCAAACACATCCTCCTTTTGCTGAAGTTCATACTAAATGCCAAAACCAACTTTCCCTTGATTACATGATCTTATGTGGACCTGTCCATCATAATGTATAATAGCAGAAATAATTTCACAAATAGGCAGTATGGCAAGAGTTGTAGTCTGACCTTAACAAGTACACAAATACTTTAAGATTTCTATCAGTGTTATCAGAGGAATTACTTCCCAGTCATTTGTCAACTGTCCAATGCCTTTTAAGCCAATTCTATCATAGCACCAGTGTCCTCTAAAAATTGTTACCTCAACTATGACAGCCCATCAACAGATCATTTCTACTTAAGTTCCAAACAACCTACATGAAGTTTACTCCAGACCATAGGTATTAACAATCAGTCACCACTATTAGCTCAAAAAGGGATGCCAAGCAGCTCTCTGAATCTAGGTGTCCAAACCCTATACTTACATTTATTAACAGTTCTCCCTTACTCCAAACAGTTGTGTATTACAAGACTGCTGAATTCAGTCTTACCACTGCCAGGAACAGGTAGTAGCCTGAACATCAAATTTTGAGATTTGGGGAGTCACTCTGGATGTGTAGTCCAAAAAATATGCTACCTTACTACACAGCAATTCAACTTGCAGCTGTACTGTCTTTCCTTAGAAACCCCAGGTTAAAGCTCTTGATGTATCTCATGAGACCACACGGGCCTACATTTGATTAGTGTCAAGCCTTAGTAATGAATAACTTCCCTGGTACTTTTTCTTCATCAAATGGAACCTTCACTATCTTGGCTGCTCCTTTCTTTACTGACTTCATTTTTCTTTCTAGTTCAATCTCTATAGAGAAAGCAGTTAAGTAATGGGATAAGAATGACTTCAGGCAATGTAAAATTTAATTTGTAACTGTTAGAATTGGATTTATTCTGTTTGTGGAGGGCTGTGATGCCTGTCAGTTGCTTTTCTCCTTGTGCATCTTTCTGTATTTGCACAATTACATATTTCTCACATAAGTAATTTAATGAATTCAATTATCCTAGCTTTCTCCTGTCAGTAACAGACATTGATAAATGTCACTGAGCAGGGAGAAGTCCCATTCACTGAACACCAACTGCTTTCTCTAATAGTGGTTGTAAGGATGCCAGTTGGGTTTGGGTATATTAATGCTATACGTGTGAAAAGCAAATATCGCCTTTTAGAATAAAATTCATCACTCAACAGGTGCTATACTTTTTTTTTTTCTTTTAGTAGAATCACAAAAAAATGCCCACAGTCCAAGTTTGATCATATAGGTAGGCAAAAAAGTTCAGATAAATGGAAACTATGACAAGACAAAATCAAATTAAAATCATTTTTGTGGGATAGGGTTTCACTATGTAACTCAAGCTGGCTGAGAATTTCCTATATAGCTCAAACTAGGCTCTAACTTGTAATTTCCCTGGTTCTACCTTCATAGGTTTGTGCTGTCAGGTCCCACCCCCAAATCACTGAGTACCATGCATAACAGATAATGCCAAAGAATTTCTGTACTCCTCCTCCCAGTCTTGGCTGGATTTCCTAGCAGAGTGGGAGCTGAAGTGTCCTGACTGCCTTAAGAACTGATCACTGTGCCCTGAGGTAGAATGTAACTTTGGCTTCTAAGTAATGGCTTAATTAGGTTTTGGTCTACCATCTTAATGAACACTTTTAATCCTGTCCTCCCTAATCCATTATTTCTTGTTTTTTTTTTTTTTGTTGTTGTTATTGTTTGTTTGTGTTCTGTTTTTCCAGATTCAAACCTCTATCTATACTTAAGACCTACTTCTCTCTATTCTCATTTATTCATTCATTCTTCAACACCCTGAAATTTGGTGATTTATTATTATGTAAATTCAGAATTTATCTGGAAAAGGAGAACATTCAGCAAGCCTTCATGGTGAAACAATCCAACTGAAAAGCAAGGAAAACTGTTTACAAACTGTCTCAAAAGCAGCAAGAAACAGAAGCAGCACCTTATTAGAAAAACACACAAAACAGGACACCGAAAATGGAGTAGTCTCGTGGCACTGAAATCAAGAAAGGCAAACTATCCGTTAGTCAAGTGGAAAGAGAAATAAATAGCACAACACACTTAATAACTTCTCAACTGTTGACAAAGTGTTATATCATGTAATTGTTCAGTGTCCCAACTGTAATGGACACTGTAATGGACATACTCTATGTCACTATTACCTGTAATAGTAAACTTTGCTTATTACCACCTTAGAGCAAAACCAAAATCCTTCCACGATTACTTTTGCATACTTACAAGGTTGTTTTGTCTATTTTGTTTATTTGTGTTGATGGTTGGGAAACTGAACAAACTGAAACCCTCTGGACTGCAGACTTGAAATGGGTGAACTGTGTGTATGAATTTCACCTCAATAAAGCTGTTTATAAAAGATACAACTCAGAGGATCACCCTTTACAGCACATTCATGCAGACAGCATCCTCAAAGATTCTCTATGAAATGAAGACCTGTGAATACATATCTACATAACGGCATACACTGAGCATCTTTGCATATGTGAATTTCCCTAAATGGCTATATTTATAAATACAGTTAATCTGCATATACTTTAGTCAATGACTTGCTTTCTACTGCCCCTTTATCCAAACCTGTTAAAACTTGAGAAATAAAGACAGTAGGATAAATAAGGATTGTTTTTCTTGGTAGTTATCAACTAAGGGCATTTAGATCTCAAATTCTGGCCATGAGATGTTTACTCTATTTACCTTATGTACCACAAGAAATACAGTCACAAAATCTATGCCAACCTGTTACAAACACAACAGGTAGGGCACTCTCTGGAGACTTTTGTTTCCTAAATATTATTAACTCAAAAAATGCTGAAAACATGAAGAATTCATTTTCTTACTGTTCAAAATGAATTAAGGATAGTTCCAAAAGAAGCTAAGAGTTGCTAAATTCAAATGGTATGTTCATCCATGTCCACTTAAGGAAACTAGACTGTGAGAAACAATCAAAGGGGAAACTTGAACGATACATATTTTTTGTAAAATCTTTTCCTTTTTCTGGCCTTAAGTTTCTAAAGAGGAATATGGAATTTTTTTCCTGTAAAAGTTGTCTTTATTTTTCTCTCAATAATCTTCTACAATAACTCAGACTTAGATTTTGCTTAGATAAAAGTTCTGTAGCTAGGCAAGGTGGCACATGCCTTTAATCCCAGCCCTCGGGAAGCAGAGGCAGGTGGATCTCTGTGAGTTCAAGGCCAGCCTGGTCTACATAGAGTTCCAGGACAGCCCCACTACAGGGAGACCCTGTCTCAAAAAAAAAAAAAAAAAAAAAAAAAAAATTAAATAAAAGGTCCTATAAAATGAACATGATTCCCTTTCTTTGACAGAAGGATCTACTATGAGCTGTAATGGTATTAACTCCTAACAGAGGTGTTATTCATACCTTCACTGTTCAGAAAGAACCAGTTCTGGGGATCCAACCCAGGGTCTTGAGTATGCTAGGTGAATGTTCCACCGAATTACATCTCCAGCTTTAAACCAATTAATTTTAAGAATAAGATGCAAAAGGAAGTGAGAATTAAAAAATACAAAGTACATATATAGCATTTTTAACCCTTCAGAGACCCTGAGGAGGAAGTGCAATTTCTCATCTTTCCACAGTGAAGTTCAGGATCTGAAAAAGAACAAATACACAACACTGTTTTAGTAACACACCTGCAAAAAAGTTGAGATGCCTAGCAAAATGACTCAAAAAATTCTTCAACTAGTGAAGCATACGGAGTACTTCAAATTAGACAATAAATATACTTTTAATTGGTGAGGGTAATAAGGGGATGGGTTTGTATGTTAACCACCATTACATGCATGAAAATGTCACAATGAAACGCACTATTTTGTACAGTTAACATTCGCTAACAAAATAAGTAAATTGGTGATCTACACTAATCAACTGCAAGTCTCTGAGATTTTTAGCACGTACTCTAGGTTTCTCCAGTGTCAGTCTGGATACTAACGCTCGACTACAGTCGGCCCATTATCAATATCCCCTTTTAAATAATTCCCTGCTTTCGCCGGTGGCTAAGAAATTATTTTCGAACCAGGTGTTAACTCCTTTAGGAAGCTTCTTGTCTTACGGTCAAAGGCAAAGCAATGTCCCTTCGCGCTCGGGTACCTTCCAACGATATCTTTGGACCTCTTTGCAAATAATTCCCATAAGAAAATTCAGAGGGGGTCCGACAACTGAGGGAGGGGTATGAGGGTTGGAGAATAAGTGGCAAGAAGACAGAAACAAATCTGGCAGGTTTAGCTCAACTCGCTGGGTGTCAAGCGGGTCGCTGTCCCGCGACTCCACAAAACAAAGACACCTACCGCCCAGACAGTCCGGCTGGCGGGTCTAAGGGGCCCTCGGCGGACAGGATTCCCTCGGCTAGAGCAGAGCAAGAGGCGTGGGGCCCTACGCAAGCCCTGCGGGGCCGGGCGGCCGGGGCTCACTCCGACCGGAGAAGGCAGCCACCTTAGGTCGTACCGCGCTGCCTGCCCCCAGTGAAACCTCGCTCCAGTCCCAGGCCGGTGCGCGCGGCTCTCGACTCCTCGGTCCTCCTTCTCCCCGTCCCCACCGCACCACCGCTCTGCTCCACGCGCCCAGAAACCTCAGCCCGCTCTCCAGCACCGCTCCCGAGCTCCCAACATGGCGGCCGGTCTGGTCCTTTGCTGGGCGCTCCGACTGGAGCATCCTGGGTATTGTAGTTCTGGAGGTAACCTCCATGTCCCTCCCGGACTTCAGAGGACTACAATTCCCAGAATGCATAGCTCTGGAGCATGGCTATTGGGGCCTCTCGGACAGAGGGATGATGTCATTGCAAAACCCTACTGCATTCATTGTGTTACGGTCTATCCACCCCCCTGCTGCTGCTGCTGCTGGGCTTGTGATTGCCGCTCGCTCCAGCTGAGCTCAGAGTAGCGGCAGCACCAGGGCAGCGAGACTCCGGCCCTTGCACTTAGGATACCGCAGCACCTTTCCTTGCGTGCGTGACTCATTCGCACATCATTTCTGTTTATGTCTGGGGTGGGGAGAAAAATCCCAAACCAGGTGAGTTGAAGTGATTTATTCAAATGGTCCTCCCAAGTTATTCCTCTCCCTTAGTTCTCAAGGCTTTCTTTGAGAAGATGGGGCCGGGGTGGAGAGGTGAATTGGGAGGTTCTCACTGGCACTACTAAGAGCTAAATTGCTCTGTGCAATTTGGGTCACTGCAAAGAACAACTCCAGCAATCTGCCCCCGCCAGAGAACCCTGCCAATTCCCTGGTCTCAACTCCCTCTAACCTATTTGAGACTGGAAGAGGGGGCTGGGAGGAAAAGGATGTTGCTAAGTGCTCTTGGAAAATCGGAGGAGGGCAAAGGTGGCGGACTGCAGCACTGTCACTTATAGCCCCAGTGCTGAGGCTTGAGTGGGAAGGGGTGATGCGTGGGGAGAAATGGAGACAGTGATTTAATGTGGCCGCACTTCTTTAGAACATTTGTGTCGCTTGGATGAGCACACGCTATTTTTAAGGATGAGCACGCTTCTCCAGAGTAGCTTAAGTTTTGTAGGGCTTTATTTTATGTGTGAACGTCTGTGTCGTTAGTCTCGCTTTTTGTGCTGATTTGAGGTGACAGTGTCCTTTGATGGTGCACTCCGTGCCAGTCAGAAACATTTCACGTGTCTAGGGAAGGCTCTCTTAGGTTGCTAAAAGCAGCATTTTTGTTAAGCGTTTTCGGTTCTCCCGGCTGCAGGATTCAAGATTGTTTGGAAATGGAACAGATCCATTTGTGTTTGTATTGAGTGTTTAAAATTACATCGCAATAGGCTCTTGCCACTGACAATGGTACTGTAACGCTTCTGAGACTGGGTCACCACTCAAAAATAACGGTTTGCAGCCGGATCGATTAGGGAGCCTGGGCTCTTTTTTTTTTCTTTTCAAACACTTTAGGAAAAGGAAAAGTTAGTCGTAATGTCAGCCTTTTCCGGCCATTACTGACCTGCGTCCAAGAAGAGTGAGCTGGTCAGGGAGACCAAGGAGCATAGTAGTGTGATCTTTCCTTGAATTTTGTTTTTCGATGAAGTGACACATTTTAATAAAACAAAATATTCTGACATAAGATGCTGGCTTTCGACTTTTAAGAGATACAGGGATGAACAGTGCAATAAATATGTTACTTTGAGATAAACAGCTGGCTAACTCGGGAACAGATGGGGCCAGTCTTAGCTAAGAGATATACAACCTTGGAAATGAATGGGCTTAGGGTCAGCCACACCCCCTTTAGGAATGTCAAAAGAAGGAGAAATGCCAGAGTGTTTGCTTAACTCTAAAATGCTGAAGCTTTTCACAGCTGAGTCGGGCTTTGGGGGAAAACCATTACTGTCTGTTTTCAGCTGCTGTGAACCAATTTTATTCATTTTTAATTTAGATGCTTAGGTCTCCAAAGTTGCAGCTGGGTGATACTTTTGTTAAATGCTTCGTGTTACTGAATGTGAAGGACAGTCCATTGTGTGGGCTTTGTAGCAGAGTGATTTATGGGGATGCAGTGAGCAGCTTTTGGATTTGGGAAAAGATCAACAGTCTGTCTTTGCCTCGCCCTCCATCTCTCTGCTGCATGGTCTCTGCTCTTCTGGACACCCTGCCCTTCTCTCTGTGCCTTCCTTTCTCTCTCTTCTCCACCCACATCGCTTCACATTGTTTCTTTCCTTGTCTAATCGAAGTAAACATTGTTTCCTCACTGTTTTGGAATCTCCCCTGCTATCAGAAGAGTATCACATCTCTTTTTCTAAGTCTCTTTCCAACCTCTAAACACCCACCCCAGCCTTCCTCCCTTCAGGAAGGAACCCTGGGGTAGAGGCTGGGGGAGAGGTAGGCTGTGTGGATTTTTACTCAAAGTCCTCTTTAAAGAGGTTTTTGGCATTTCTTTGTCTTGGACTTTGTGCTTGGCAGGATGACACCAATGAGCCTGATTCGGGGCCAGGTTGTGACAAATCCTGGGCTCAGCAGCTTGTGGACATGTGATGGAGTAGCCACACTCCTGTCACTTTTCCTTTTGATGGTACCTGTAAAGAAGTGCCAGTGGATTAACAAGGCTTTTAATGCTTTACTGGAAATACTCTCAGAATTCCCGAGGAAGTAGTCTTCAAGTAACTTCTGCTTCATTGATTTCCCTCCCTCCTTCCCTCCTTCCCTCCCTCCTTCCCTCCTTCCTTTCCTTCCTTCCAACACAGAGTCTCCCTGTAGCCCCCAGCTGGCCTGAACTCAGAGAGATCTGCCTGCCTCTGCTTCCCAAGTGCTGGGATTAAAGGGAGTGCCACCTTTCCTGGTTTACTTTTTCTCATGCCTTCTCCTGGGAGGGCTGGGAAACTGCTCCCCCCACCCCATGCTGGTGAGTAATGGTGCAGGTAGCCACACTGCCAGTTTGTGTTTCTGAAGGTAGTTGGAGTTCCTCTCAGTTTGTCTTCTTTGTGGAGGAAAGAAGTTTGTTGTTTTACGCTGCTCTCCCAGGATGTTGGGTGTGGTGGTAGTGGTATTTCTTAACTAATGTTAAGTAAAGGCATGGAAAGTGTATTGTTCATTTGAAGTCAATATGACAGGCAGATACAGAAGCAATCAGACCAGACCTCTTTTGCACCATCTTAGCATTACTAATTTTCTTCTGAAACACTCACTGAGGATTTTTTGTGACATAGGGAAGAGCATTGAGCTGTACAAGAGTTAGACTTGGCTCTATCACTGCTGTCCTCAGGATTTTAAACAGCTGTGCATTTCTTCCTGCCTCAGTTTTTCACACCTGCAAAGGGCCATTAACCTTTGCTACTTATTTACTTGGCCTGGTGTTATAGCCCTCCATATTATGGCCCCGTTATTATTCTGAAAACAAATGTGAATTGTGCAGGTATCGCATGATAAGCACCATGCACATCAACAAAGAGAAATGTTTCCTCTACACTGAATAATTCCAAGGGTGATGCATGTTTCTCCCAAGGGGTATGCAAGATGGGATGAGAGTGCCCATGGTGGTGCTCTTTCCTCTTCTAGGCAATCAGGGAAGGCTTCCTGTAGGAAGTGGCTCTTGAAGAATCTTGGAGTGAGGGGATGGCAGTGGGAGTTGCTTAGAGTAGAACAAAGAGGGTTTTCTGGCAGAAGAAATTGTATGTTGAACATACAAAGGGAAGAGCAGGTGACAGATCAGAAAGAAGACATGTGAGGCTGGAGAAGTGGCAGAGACTGGACCCTAGGCAGAAATTTTTTGTTTTGTTTTGAGACAGGGTTTCCCTGTAGCTCCAGCTGGCCTGGAACTTTCTATGTAGACTAGGCTGGTCTCCTCTGCCTCTAGAGTGCTGGGATTATAGGTGTGCACCACCACACCTGACTGGGCAGAGTTTTGAATGACAAGGTGATTTTAGTCTTTATCCTAAGAACAATGGAAACTTAGGAAGGGCTTTAATTAACTAGATGAAAGACATATATGAATAATATTAAAAAATATCACCCTAGAGCTAGCATGATGGCATAGTGGGTAAAAACACTTACCACAGAAGCCTGATGACCTGAGTTCAGTCCCTGGAACCCACAGTGGAAAGAGAGAACTGACTCCTGAAAGTTGTCTTTTGATCTCCACGTGTGTGCATACAAGCATGAGCACACACACACATGCATACACACACTGCATGTGTGTGTGCATATAAGCTGAGCACACACATGCATATACACACTGTGCATGTGTGTGTACATATAAGCATGAGCATACACACATGCATACATACACTGTGCATGCACAGACAATAATAAGTAATAAATAAAATAAAAATAAAACTTAAAAAGGACACCCTGGATACTTTCATCCCATCTTGCACAACCCTAGCTGTTAAGTGGAGAAGAAACTGGAGGAAAGGCTTGGAGAGTGATTCTTTGGAGACTGGGTAGCAGGTAATTTTTTGTAGTCTGGGTGGTAGACAATGTGCTTGCTCCAGGTGGGGTTGAAGGCCTTGAAAAGAAGGGAAGAGACTAGAGAGGTACAAAGTTTGAAAGCTGTAATTGAGAACACGTGTTCATTGAACAGATTGTGAAGCTAGGAAGAAAAGGGGGTAAAATATGGCTTGCAAATTTCTTTGAGAAATTCAGAAGACTTTTACAGAAAAGGAAACACTGGGTAGGACTTGAGTTTGTTCATGAAAGGGGAAACTTTTGATCGTGTTGAGTTTGAAGTTCCTGGAAGACATCTAAGTAAGGTCTTTGTTTCACTCTTCCTATTCTTGTGTAGGATGTGGCATGGGTAGACCAGGGAAGAGGGCTCTGGATGAGACTTCTAAGACGCGGAACTGCTTATTTATTTATGTGATATCGGGCATGTATTCATTTTCAGTCTTTAGTTTTCTCATCTATAAAATGGGTTTGTCCTATTTGGATGTACTGATATCCAGCTATATATTCACCATGCTAAGAATGGATCAAATGAGATAGTGTTTGTTCTGTAGAAATTCACTGAGGAGAGGAGACATGAACAGATAACCACATGTAAAGGGGTGTACAGCAATGCTAAGCAAGCCCTGTTATCCATCACCTACACTACAAAAGGGACCTACCACCATTCTCCACAGATTTACTCCACAGATTTACTCTGGCCATACCTTTCCTTTGATTTCTTCTCCACTTAATAGCTAGGGTGATG